AGCGGCTGAATGCAATTTTCACCGATCGAGCTTTCCACGCCCTGCGGGGCGCGGTCCGCTGGGCCAAGAGATCGGCTCCAGGTCCGAACTCAACGTCACGGAAAGTCGCGGCGGGTTCGACGTGGAAGCTGGGCCATTGTGTGACACTCGCCGCAGTTTGGGAGGAGGTGCTTTGCATCGTGTCAGGCGTACATGCATAACCGAAAGGAGCGACGCAGCACTTGTCTGGCTGCAGCACAAGGTCAGAAGGTCAGCGATCGTGTGGGCGGCAGCGAATGGTGGGTGCAAGAGAGGAAGGGGCCGAATCGAAGGGGGGTGGGGCCCGCGTCGGCTGCCGTCGCGCCACGCTCGGGCGCTCGCTTAGGGCGCCATCGCTCCGGCCCAGGGCGCGCGGCAAGGGCCTCGGGGGAGCTCAGCTGGGAATCCAAGTGACGCAGAAAGGGGTCCCTGCAGAGGGCCCACATGGTGCCCGAGAGAGTGCGCCCCTGAGCAATCCCAGGGGAGACCATGGAGAGAGGCCTGCAGGCGGCTCCACAGCTGGAGTGAGCGATAGCTCGAGAATGCAGCGCTGAGATCCCGTTCTTAAGCCCCGCAGGGACGCGGCGATGCTCGAGCACTCGATGGAGGAAGGGCTGGGACGGGGCAAGGAAGGCAGCACGCAGGACAAAGGAGACAAAGAGAGGAGTGAACTCAGGGTGGTGACTGAGGCTCGAGCGAAAGCATCCTGGCGGACAATGTGGGACCGAAGAGATTCCTGCCTCTGATGAAACCTTGCTGGCTCACGTGGCAACGTTCAGCCGCCTGTGCAGCAAGTTGAAGGTCGATGGCCGGCGCGATGGCCTTCGCGTCTGCATTCTTGAGGGAGAGCGATCGCACCTTGGCTGCGTGTCGGCCGACATCAATCATATCCATTGGGTCGCCCCCCTTGGGCGCGAAGGCCATGTCGGAGAAATTGGACCACCGTGGCGCAGCGTCCTCGGAAGATATTCAGCACCACATTGCGCGGTGCATCCGTGCGTCTCCCATCGGCAAGCCGCGCCCTGGCGCTCAGTCGGTCGGGGCCAGGGGCAGTTGGGCGCGCCCGTCGGAACGCCCCTCGAAGAGACTCGAGCGACGGCGCCCCCATCCTCGGCTGCTGGAAGACGGGCATGTGGTTGTCCAGGTAGCGATCCACCTCGCCGAGGTCGGCTGGTTTGTCAGTGAAGATGGGCTGCCAGTACTTGCGGGGCCCATGCAGCATGATCGTGGGCTCCCTCGCGATGGAGGACTGGTTCCCCTCGCTGTCAAGGCGGGCGCCCGAGGGCGCCGGGTGGCGGCGGTAGGGGCCCGCAGCAGGGCGCGCCACTGGGCCGCCCTCTGGATCTCTAGCAGCTGCCGCTTGGAAGGGCCCTCCGCGTCAGTGAAGGCGGGGCTCGTCTCGGAGACGCGCCGCTGCAGCAACTCGTAGTCGCTCGTTCCATGCTGCATGACGGAGACTGCAGTCCCGTTCGAAGCTATCAGGATCCACCATCGCGAGAGAATCGTTCTCGTCGGCGCGCAAGCGAAAGGCTCCCAGCGCTGTGGTGTCTTGCAGGTGGCGGCCGAGGCGAGCGTCCTGGCGCCGGGATGATCTGGTGATGGCGCGCATGGTGATGCGTCTGTCATCCTCGCCCGCCGCGGCGAGGTCGCCATCCGGGAGGCCCGTCATCTCGTCTCGGGGGAGGCGTGCAGATTCTGGCGTGATCTCGTTGGCCAGCGTCCGGGCACCTCGGAGATGCTCGCGAGGTCGATGGCGTCCAACAGCGTCATCGCACGGTTGACGTGGCGCTCCGAGCCAAAGACGCATGTGGCTATCCCCTGGTCGGCGTTCTCTATAGGTGAGCGAACCTTCAGCTACAGCGCAATGGTGGCGCGGTCATTCAGGCCCCAGTCCGCTAAGGATGGGAAGGCGATCGTGGTGTTCAACACGTTGTGGGGGCGCAGCGACACGAAGGCGCGGTCAATGAAGGGGCGCGACTGGCGGCGCTAGGAGTAGAGGGTCGGCCGCTCGCCAACCACCTCAATGCGCGGAGACTGGAGGAGCGCACGCCAGAAGCCATGAGGCTGATTGCCACGGTGTCAAATGGTGCGGCTGTTACCCGTGGCGCGTCGAGGGCTGCGACTGCTACAATCGTGATCTGAGGCGGAGGAGGTGGATGAAGTGTCCGAGACCCCCGCCGCCGTCGCGTCGCTGCGCCCGGTACCTGGATGCGTGGCGGGCGAAGGGCGTTCAAAAAATTGAAAGTCCGGTGTCCGCGATGTTGTAGCCGCCAATGGCAACCAAGATCCGACGCCGCTCATCTTCCTCAGCCCACGCGGCTCCGTCGCGCCGCCGTCGTCGAGTGGGCGGGAGGTAGGGAGCGGGCAGCTCGTGGTCTTGGATGGTTATGATGCGGATATGCTCGTTGTTGCTCCGACTCGAGCTGGCGAGCTGGGCCGCCCGACCTTCGGCGAGGATCTGCAAGGCGCAGGGTGGCAGCAAGCTCGGGCCGACGGCGTTGCGCTGGGCCCCCGAGTGCCGCGGGGCCAGGAAAGCCAATCCTCGCGCGCCAGGAGTACCCCCAGGGGCAAAGAAGGTACGATAGTTAACGGGAAATCGGTTCACGAGGGGTCAAAGTTCGGCTTCCCGCCAATGGGCCTCCTGGGTGGCAACGAGGAGGCGCCGCTGCATCAGCTTGATCAGCCTGCCCATCTTGCCTTTGCGGTTGCGAGCGCGGTGACAGAGCCAGCCGTTGGCGCTCCGCGATGCAATGCTTAGCCCCTGGCCACGCTGTTCGCGCCCTGGGCGAGGGCAAAATCTCCCGGGGCAGCCGGCGCGGGCTGGGGGCAGAACCAGGAGGGCGTGTCCACCTCGTTTAAAGGGGCCCTGGGACACACAAACAAATAGACACAAATAACAAGATCCCCCCTATTTTCCATATTTTCTGGGTGTCCCTCTTCCCCCCCACTCCCAACTCTGCGCAAACTTTCCTGGGAGTTTACGATTAATTGTGTCTGTGTTTCTTTCCCTCCTGATCGCTTGCAGCGGACGTGGCCTCTCGGAAGCGGTCGACGATGTCCTGCCGGCCGCTCTCGTCGCCGCGCCGCCGGGCCTCGGGGTGCCCGCGAGGGTCTTCGTGGGCTCCCCGTGGCCCTTCTTGCGGGGCGACCTCAAGGATGGGGGCCGCGCTGCAACCGGTGATGCCCTTGGGGCGGACGGCTGTCCAGTCGCGGCCAGCGGCGCATGACTGGGAGAGGGGGAGGAGGAGGAGGAGGAGGAGGAGGAGGAGGAGGAGGAGGGAGGAGGAGGAGGAGGAGGAGGAGGAGGAGGAGGAGGGAGGAGGAGGAGGAGGAGGAGGAGGAGGAGGAGGGAGGAGGAGGAGGAGGAGGAGGAGGAGGAGGAGGAGGAGGAGGAGGAGGAGATGGAGGAGCCAGGAACGGCGTCATGCGTGCATCTCTCTGCGTATCTGGCGGGGGGCTTTGGCAGACCCAACGCGTAGTGCGACCCGTTGACCCTCGGGTGCCTCAACCAGGAGCGACCGCCATGCGCCGCCAGGAAGACGGAGGGCACGAGCGAGGGCCATGGCTCTGGTGGCGCCCACCTCAGCATCGCCCTTGGCGCGGATGAAGCAGCGCTTGGTGGGGACTTCAACGCCCACCACCTCGATGTGCTCTGGCTGGGCCCGAGAGGCATGGATCCAGTCTATGATGGCCGCGCGGACGGCCACTCGGGTGACAAGGTTATGGCAGTTGGCTGCGACCATGAGGGGGTATGCCTCGCGATCGTACTCCGCGAGCTTCGCGAGGTCCGCTGAGGAGAGCTGGCGCTCGGCCAGCGCCAGGGAAGAGCGAATGTTAGCGACCTGCTCCCGCAGCTTGACGCTCGCCTGCCCCATGTCGGACTCGCGCTGCTTGAGCTGGTGGATGTCGTCCGAATGCGTGGATCTGTTCTGCGCAATCCGCTCCATGTAGTTGCCCATCTCGGCGATCATGGCTGACCGAGTGGCGGCCATTGTGTTGTTACGCTTTCCATGTCAGAGGCTGTGGAGGCCATTCGGGCCGAAACGAGGCTCATGAGCTGCTGCTGGAAGCCCGCGGCCGAGCGCTGGGAGCGACAGCGGGATCAGGCGGCAGCAGAGGCAGGGGCGGGCGGCGTGTCCGTGCCCTCGGGCTGGCTGGCGCAATCAGGGAGGGCCTCCAGGTCCGCGACGTCCTGCGCGGTGAAGATCCTGCTGCCAGTGGCCGCCCAAAGGTCGTGAAACTGGAGGGCATCACCTGTGGCAGCGCTGGGCTGGGCGGGGCCTCCGCTCGGTCCGCCAACGCGCGCCGCCCACCGTTGGGGGGGCAGCCAGGGCGTCGGGTGCGGGACCATGGCGTTTGCATCGTCGGTCTCTGTGAGGTTCGTCACGAGGGAGGATGCGACGGCGGTCAGGTGCGTGGGCAACAGGGGCAGCAGTAGCGCGGTCTCCATTTGTGTCCCGACCACTGGCGCCAGAGCGGCGAAGCCTGCGGGCGCCACGCTCTTCACCTCCACTGCGGCCGTGGTCGCTGACAGTCCTGCGCGTGTCGGCGCGATCGTCGGAGCTGTAAGAGTCGCCAGACGCGATGCTCTAGAGAAGCGTCGTGTTGCGATGAAGGAAGTCGTGGTGTCTACACTGAGGGGGGACAGAGCCCCAGATCGAATGAACTTTGGAACTCGCAGCCGCCCAGGGGGAGCTCTAACTGCGAGGGTCGTGAAAATGGAAGCCCGCTGGGGCGGCACGCCTTGACCACGCCCCTCGCCTGCGGGCAAGTACGAAGCTGCAAGGCGACGGTTTCGTACTTGAGCCAAAATGGTTACGGAGGAAGAGGGGGAGGAGGGGGAGGAGAAGGAGGAGGATGGAGGAGGAGGAGGAGGAGGAGCAGGAGCAGGGGGAGGAGGAGGAGGGGATGGCGAGGGGAGAGGAGAGGCAATAGCAACACCAATACCAACAGCAACAACAACAAATGACCATGTCGGGATCCTGAGAATGGATGTCGGCGCTGCGACCAATGAGGTAGCCCGCTAGCAGGAGGTTTCCCTTGGAGCTCGCTGCCAACAACGGCGTCCACCCAAACTTGTTCCTCTGCTCAATCTCCGCCCGCTCCTACGGGTTAGAGGGACGAGGCGATGGTGGAGGGAGCAAGAGATCGCGCTGAAAGGGAGGAGGGGGAAAGCGAGGGCGAGGATGAGGCGAGTACGCCATCTGGACAGAGTTGGGTCTGATGGTGGGCGGCGTGGAGGCTCCTCGGTGACTCACGTGAAAAACAAGGCGGTGCCTAGCCAACATCTCCGGAGGGAGGCTCGTCGCCAGCGGTGGCATGACTCGGAGGGTGGCCGCAGAAGTGGCCAGGGTGCCCAAGAACAGCCCGAAGTGTGCATGCACTGGACAGCTTAATGCCCGTATGCGACGTGCAGCAATCGAATCGGCAACACTGGGTCGGTGAGGAGGAGATGACTGCGAGGCGGGAATTCATCCACACCCACCGCCTGGGAACCGACGCCCTGGGGACCGAGCGGAAGTTGGATATGGATATATTTGGCCCCCGAGGTGCCAAAATATATCCATCTCCACCGCCCGCCGAGGTCTTTGAAAATCGATCCTTGAGGCGGTGGTTATGTATAAATCCTCGCCTCGGAGCGACGAGGACGAGGACGAGGACGAGGACGGCGGAGGGCGGCCAAGCGAGGGAGGACGACGAGGCAAGACGAGGACGAGGATGAAGGCATCGAGGGGCGGCAGCAGCAGCTGCGGCAGGCGGATGAGCAGGAGAGGAAGGAACATTAGAAGGAGGAGGAACACAGGAGGAGGGGGAGGAGAAGGAGGACGAGAAGGAGGAGGAGGAGGAGCGCGAGCACCAGTCCCAGCAGCGGCGGCGACGGTGGCGGTGGTTCGAGCGACAGCAACAGCAGGGCCACGGCGGGCAGCGCAGCGGGCGCATCATCACGTTGTACTTCCCAAACGTTGAAGGGGGGTGCACGCTCGTTGCTGACGCGCGGATGAAGCAGCGCCAGCGATCGCTCCTGATCAGCCTCCTGTGCTGAGGGTGGTGTAGCGATCTGTTGCTGTTGCCGCAGGTCCTGGCGCATCGTCGTGTCTGTTCCTGGAGTGTGCAGGCAGTGGCAGCTGGCCGTACTTTTGTTAGATCCGCTGGGCCTCATTTGATGCGCCAGGCCTCGATGCTGCTCGAGTCAGCTCGGTTTGGGCCGGGCCTTTTGGGCGCACGCCACGCTCAAGGCGCAATGGCAGCAGCGTGCGAGGAGTTGCTGGTGGCGTCAGTCGCAATGTTGCTCAGATTGCCACGGGCGACTACGGGGCCCGCGCGTGCACTCAAACGTCGGAGGGTCATACAACTGAAGTCGAGAGGGACCTCTACTTCCGCTGCAGCGTGGTCAACTGACTGATGAAGACTGACTCCTTAAGAAAATGGACCTCGCGAGACCGACGCCTCCCACGCCGCACCAGACTCTCGCAATACATGAACGCAGGCTGCAATACACACTGGCTCCATTGCGTGAAGAATCGACGAGGCAATGCCACGCTTGCCTACGCACGGCGGTTACAAGCCGCCCTGCGAGGCGGCCCCGCGAGGCGCAATGAGCTGCTAGCGCGCGTGTGCGGAAGGGGGAGGACTGGTGGGTGCAGAGCAGCAGGGGCAGCGGTCACGGCGCGCAAGCTGTTGAACACGTGCGCGTGCTCTGCGAGATCGTCGGACAAGAAACTGTCGGCACTCGCCGATGTCTTGCAGTCTGCCCCTCCTCACATGCCAATCCCAAGACATCTGGCGGCTCGACTGTTCTAGGCATGGGCACCCAGACCTCTCGATTACGTCCCCAGGGCAGCCTTCCCATATGATAGGAAATTATGTTTCTCACCCAGGCCCCGCGGTGCTTGAGAACGGTTCACTTTCGGAGTCGGGATTGATATAACTGAATCAAGCTGCGAGGTGGGGATTTGTCCATCACCACCGCCTGGGGGACCCTCGGGGACCTCGGCAGGCGGTGGATATGAATATGTATGAATAATATGTATATATATATATATATGTGTAGCACTCCGCAACTGCGGAATATATATATATATATATATATATATATATATACATATATATACACATATATATATACCACCCCGCAACTGCGGATAAGAGTGCGGGGGCGGGCTCGGGGTGGGTCGCGGGTGGGTCGCGGGGTGGGTCGCGGGTAGGTTGCGGGTGGGTCGCGGGTGGGTCGCGAGTAGGTCACGCGTCGGTCGCGGGTGAGTTGCAGAAAGGTCGCGGGTGGGTCGCGGGTGGTTCGCGGGTGGGTCGCGGGCAGGTCGTGCAATGGGTCGCGGGTCGGTCGCGGGCGGGTCGCGGGTGGGTCGCGGGGTGGGTCGCGGGTGGGTCGCGGGTGGATCTCCGCGGGGTCACGGGGTGGGTCGCGGGAAGGTTGCGGATGGGTCGCGGGTGCGTCGCGGGTGGGTCGCGGGCGTGTTGCGGGTGGGTCGGGGGCCTGGTCGCGGGTGGGTCGAAGAAAACAAATAACAAACAACGAACAACCAACAACAAACAACAACAATCAACAGCAACAACAACACCAAACACCACCAACAACAACTACAACAACACCAGCAACAACACTCAACCACCAACAACATCGACGACAACAACAAACACAACAACCGGCAATAACAATCAAAAGCAGCAGCAACCACAAAACAACACTAACACCAACACCAACACCAACAACACCAACACCAACAACAACAAACAACAACAACAACAACAACAACAACAACAACAACAACAACAACAACAAACAACAATAAACAACAACAAACAACAACAAGCAACAACAACAAACAACAAACAACAAACAACAAACAACACCAACAACAGCAACAACAGAAAAACAACAACAGTAACAACAAGCAACACTACCATCAACAACCACAACAACAAACAACCATAACAACAAACACCACAATTACTAGCACGTGGGGACACTCCGTTCTCACCAGTGCCAGGGTTTTCATAGGAGGCGGGCAATACCCCCACTTTGTGGGGGGGCCGGTTCAAGCTCTACCAAATTTCCAAACGACTCTTCGCCACCACCCACACCCAGCTTCCCGCCCTATGACGTTCGGACACTTCACTTCGTGGCATGCGGACGACCGTGGCTACTATTCAGGGCCCCGCGGCCGACGACGACGGCGTGCGCGCGCGAAGAAAAAACGAATGTGTCCCGCATGGTATTATTTGACAGGGATGATGGCCCTGGCAGGTGCGCAACCGTTGTCGCAGAAGTTCGAAAAAGTTGCTCGCAAAAGCCCGTTTGACAGAAATGTTTAAAAAGTGTTGGGTTTCCTACGAATCCGCAAGAGCGCGCGGGATGAGATTTTGACAATTTTTTGTTGAAAAACCATTGGTTTTTTGATGTTTTTATGTTAAAATCGCTGCGAACACTAAGGTTTTGGAAGGATTTCGTCTTGCGCGCGCGAATGTCCACTTTACCTTATTTTTTGCAAGGGATTCTTGAAATTTGATTATATTAGAACAAGAAATGTCATTTTCTATTGTTTTTTGCAAGGGAAAGCGGATTACAACAAAACAACCGGATCCTGTACACACCCTCTTTTCTGAGGCTTCCTCACGAAAATGATGAAAATGTAGCTGCGGCCTAGGCGGCGCAGGGGGGGCGCGCACCAGGGGGCCCAACAATAATTATTCTTTAGAATAAATAATGTTCAACAGCAACAACAAACACACCAACAAACAACAACCCCAACACCAACATCAAGACCGATACCAACAACCACAACAGACAACAACAATCAGCAGCAAACAACAGCAAACAACAACAGCCACAACACCAACAACAATCGTTGCAAGACTGTTCGCTCTTATCTGCTCGCGTGCCACTCAAGACGTATACCCCAAACCCTCGGTACCCGCCCTCCTCGTCTTCGATCGTACCCCCTGAATTTCACGCAGCCCCCTAAGGCAGGGGAAGAGAAGACGAATGGAAGGAAGGGACAAGGGGCAGGCGGGTTACTGAAGCGTGCGTCCTGCATAAATCGCGAGGACGTCTCGAGCGATAGCTCGATGAACGAACAAATCGTGAGAAAATTCACACCAGAGTGATTCCTGAGTGTCGAGGGCGCGGCGTCTGAATAGATTGCCAAGACGCTCCACACGAGAGCGCGATTCCGATATGAATTGTGAGGTCCCGCGCGAGAGCGCCATGTGGGAATACCTTCTCAAGGAGTATCATGCAGGAACCGCTGTTGTTATAAACCGGGGGCCAGGGGCACAATTTGGTGGCACCTCATTTTCCGTTGTAGAAAACAGGGTGCGGGCCCGGGGAGAAGCATCTTATTTGAAAAGGTACGAGATACAATGGTCACTGGAGGGGGGATCAACAATGACTATTCTTTAGACATGAATAAACTCAACAACAACAACAACAACAACAACAACAACAACAACCGAACACCAACAACCAAACACCAACAACCATACCAACAACAACAATAACACCACCAACAACAACAATATGTTTTAGACTGTTCGCTCTTATCTGCTCGAATGCCATTCAACGTGTATTCCCAAAACCCTCGATACCCGCCCTCTTCGTCTTCGATCGTACCCCCTTTGGGGGGTATATCTTTGTTCCCTGCAGGCCAGGCCCTAGCAAGCGGCGGGGCGGCCGCGGACCGTCGGCCTGGCCAACGGCAGCGCTGACCGGCGGCAACCCGACCCCGAGAAGGACGGACAGGGAACCGACGACGACGATGGCAACAATAACAAACACAACAACCGGCAGTAACCATCAACAGCAGCAACAACAACAAAACAACACCAACACCAACACCACCACCAACACCACCAACAACAACAAACAACAACAAAGAGCACCAACAACAACAACAGCAAAAACAACAACAGCAACAACAGTAACAACAAGCAACACTACCATCAACCACTACAGCAACAAACAACCACAACAACAAACACAACATCAACAAACATACCAACAAACAACAACACGAACACCAACATCAAGACCGATACCAACAACAACAACAGACAACAACAAACAACAGCAAACAACAAAAACAACAAC